TATTTATATCTGGTAGTAAATATCAAATGTTTCATTTGTGAGTCTTTATTTTTAAACCTTTTGAAGCACAGTTCCTGAGCGTAATGTTGCGATTAATTTGCAAAGTGTGCAATATTTGGCCAGCTGTAATCCACTTAAGTACAGTGACTGCTTCTGCCAGTTATCACACCTCATTTAGTCCCAACACACCTATAATCATTTTGCAACTGTAAAGAAATGCAATAACAAATTCCCTCTAAATAAAACCTCACACGATTCCTAATCAAACAACCGTAATACGTACAAACAGGTTGATATTTTCTCATAGATCATGCAAAAATAACCAGAATTAAGGTAGTGCAACATGCATTACTCCCTGTATGTCACGACATGACACAGCACATTACGCACACACACACGCGCGCGCGTGCTGCATTAAACGAGAGTCAGTTTCGAGGTTTGGTGTTTTGTTTCAAGTTAACTGGAACCCTAAAGCACAAGAAAAGGCCCCAGCTTTGTAATCTACACTCTGCTGTATATCATTAATATGCTGCAATGTTGCCCTCAGGAATGCCATGTTTGTGGGTGTCCTACACCAACAAGTCCATTGAAGAGGCCCAAACCTTGTCATTACAATTCCAGTGATAATGACAGCTTTGAAAAGCTTAGGGTTATTTCAGTTTTCTCTCCTCACTGTCATAGTAATTACCTTTAAATTTAGTCTTCAAACTCTCTTCGTGATGCTAGAGCGCAGAGCGACCCTATATGATTCAGTTTACAGTAGCTACACCCAGCGTGCTTGCAGTTCTTTTTTTTTTTGCTTTGATAAATAATCAGCTCTGGACACTCAGGCTCCGGCCTGCAGAAAGGTCGAACAAGATGACGGAGAGAAATATAGCGGTTTTAGCTTGAATTATAACCTGCGTTTACATTGTTTCTGTTGGCCGAGCGCCTTCAAAGATGTAAGCCAAGCTGCATTGATCTCAGCGCTTTTCCCATAACTTCGGCCCAAAACAAACAGTTCTTTTCAGGACAACTTGAACAATACTGCTGACAGGAGCCAAATGTACCTCCTGTCATCATGTGGGAAGGGATCATGTGTAAACAGATCCTGCGTGATGGAGCTCAGCGTGAGAAAACTGTAATTACAAGAAAAGTGACATATACCATGAGAACATGAGAACATGCATGAGCCTCGTGCTCTAAAGTGATTAGTTTATCGATAAAGATGAAAATATACAGCCCTTGAAAAATAACTGAAACAGCAAGGATGCTTTTAAAAGCTTGCTGCGCATCAAAATCATTTAAGCTTTTATTTCCAGTTTTTTTGCATCTAAATCTTGAGGAGGAAAAAAAAACCCACTTAAAAAAGCACAATCTGTGAAAACCCATCTGTCCACGTCAATCTCCAGACGTGCGTTTTACCTGCTAAAGCGGAGATTGCAGGAAGAAATCCTTCCAAAACAAACAACAGAATTAAAGGTTTAGGCCTGGAGAGCTTCACAAAGGAAAGTTGCAAAACTTTGGTGAAGTCATCTGGTTGCAGGTTTGCATGCAGTCATTACAAGTCGAGGATCTGCGAGCAGTTTCACTCACTTTTTCCTAATTTAGGCCTAGCTGCTCTACTTTCACTCTCCTGAAAACCTGTGAGTCGTTAAGAAATGCTACAATTAAAGTTCTGTAAGAGATCTAGATGCAAAGTCTGAAATTTATCTAGCACTGAGTGCAGATGTTTGCAGAGACTCACTGCTGTCATGAATACGTGTGCGTTTTGAGCTATTAATGATTTTCTCATTTGTTCCAGAATTGCGCCGCTCAAGGTGGCTGCACGTTGGAGTAGCTCTCTTACGTTCATTCTGAGATTTTGCTTTTGAAAACTTTAATTCCTTTTTTTTTTTTCTGGATGTAAATCGCTTTTTTTCGGATGATTACTTCCTCTGGTATTGGATGCTGTGCAGCTGGAAGGATTTTTACTGAAACCTTTTTTTAACTTTTGGACATTTGTTATGATGCATAACCATGACAACAAGGTGATTTTTTACAACTGGGAGCTGCTAGTTAACATCTCAAAGCTCAAATAATACCTTTAAATACAGACCCAAATCCAAAATGATTTGAAAAGGAGGCGCCGTGGATGCATTCCCGTCTACCTGGAGGAGGTGCTAGAGTGCCTGACCACCGAGATCTTGGAGGTAGCGGGAAACGTTGCTCGTGACAACGGGAGGACCGAGATCATCCCCCAGCACCTGCAGTTAAGTCCTCGACGACGAGGGGCTCGACAGGCTGCTGGGAGAAATGGTCTTCACTCGGGGAAGAGTTCTGCCCGGCATTCAGGCAGTCCTGTTGCCCAAGACAACCAAGAGGTCTGCTGGGTCTGGGCGGACGGATCGGGATCTGCAACCAGTTTCTTTGGATCTGCTGTGGGACGGACTTCTACAAGAGATCCTTCCTGCCCACAGCCATCAGCATCTTCAACTGAAAGGAAGATGAGCTACAACAACAATTAATTTCACTTTGGGCTAATAAAGTATTTTTGAATTTAATTGAATTTAATTTGTTTGGGGTGACATGGCAGAACAGTGATTAAAGATGCCCCACGCAGCAAAAAGTTCAAAGGATCACCTCACGGCCTCGAGCCTTTCTGGGTAGAGTTTTAATTTTTTATACCAGTACCACACCATGACTCTACCACCACCATGCTAGACAGTTGGTACACTGTTCGCCTCCCCTTGACTCTTCTAAACATATTTCATCACTGCAGCCAAATGGCTTTATCTCGTCTGACCATAAACTGTTTCTCCAGAAGGCATTAGGTGTGTCCATATATCTGCAGGACAGCATGAATGACTCAAGTGGACCAGGTTAGTTTAGTGAATGATTCAGATTAACCCGAAACATCAAGTGAACCAGATTTACCAGCTCTATGACAAATTGGAATTAGTCAGTCCAATGAGCGCTGCTGCCAGTCATAATCACCAAAAAGTTAACAGGCCTAAAAGGTGTAAAACATTCTGCACCCTAAAAGATTTAGGTGGATATGCATATATTTCCCACTTTTTGTAATAGAAAACACACAAAGAAATTCTCATTTGTGCACCTAATTTTTATTTTTATTGAAGTTGAACGCCCCCTGGTAACAAAATAAATCAATGCATGAAAGCCCCAAATGAATATAACAATCATGGCCATGACGACGTGTTAATCTTTAATAGCCTACTTTATCATGCGTCTCCATGGCGACGGTCCAAACAAACTTTGACAGTCACCACAGCTCGGTACCAGTTGTCCTCTGCTTCTTTTCAGACAAATTAAAGTGTCAGCGATGCCGACCCCGAAAGCCCCCAAAATGAAACGGATAAAAGGGTGAGTGCAGGTGAGCGCTGCTGGTGCGTTCACGTGTAAACTGAAAATCGGCCTTCAGACGGTTTGTGCGCTCTTTTCCAGGAAAGGGAAGAAAACCAGCAAACAACACGACTCCAAGCTGGAGAAGGAGTCGGACGTGGACACGGTCAGGGTGAACGCGGCTCTCTGGGGGCTGAGGTTAAAGGTCACCGATCAGGACCTGTCCGAGTACCGGGAGGCCCACCACAACCTGACCCGGGTCAACGAGCAGCTGAGCACTCAGCTGTACCGAGCCGAGAAGGACTCCATCGATATGACCGGATACTGGCAGAAACATGTCGAAGAAAGAGATGATAAGGTCTGGAGCCGTCTAAATAATTAACTATTTGTCGATTAGTTGTAATTTAAAAAAAAAAATCTACATTCAGAATTTTTTAAATAATCTTTAAAGTGGTTTAGAGTGATATTTTAAGGCTTTTTCACTCACTTTGAGTCCTGACTTATTCAGTCCAGTCAGTCAGGAGTGTCTCTAGGAAGTTCTCAAAGGGGGGCAGATGGGGGCCACTGTCAGTTATGGGGTGGCACAACAAAAGAAGAAAAGACAACAGAGTTTTACAAGTTATATTATGCTGTTGTCATTCAGGCCTATGTCTATCTGACAAAATACTGCAGTATGGGGGACAGACAGATTATACATGTAAGACCTGAGTCCAGGATCGTTTAGAGCAGGGGTGTCAAACCCACTTACAAAAGGGGGCCAAAATTAAAAACCTTTTTCAAACTAAGGGTCGGTTTCAGATCTACATTAAATCAAGTTAGATAGCCAACATATTTTATTGGTTGCTGGTTCCTCAACAAGAGTTTGATTGGTCTCATTTGAAGTTCTCTGTTGCACTTTTGACATCATAATCAAAGATTACTGTATTTTTTTTTAAAGTATTTTATATTTAAAATAACCTCTTGGGAGCCAGATAAGATGTCAACGAGTCGAGGGCCGCATTTGGCCCCCGGGCCTTGAGTTTGACACATATCTAGAGAAATATTTAGCTTTTAGTTTGTTTGTTTAAGACATTTAATGCAGACTTACAAATCTGTGTTGGGTTGGCATATAACAATGATCTAACCAATAACTATTTTTAAACATTATGCATTTTATCAACAACCTGTCACAAATTTGTTCCCATTTGTTTTGGTAGATATTTGAAAAATACAAATGATAACAGAGTCTGCCATGCTCTCAAGTCTTGTGTAAACCTTTGGTGGAAATTTATTTCTTAGCAACATGACGTTAAGACTCTTTTTTTCGTCCTTACACTTCTTATTTTGTTCTTCACTCATCCTTTGTCTTAATTTTTAACACACATGGCACAATATGGTGGTGTGTTCAGGTACAAGGGCTGAAAAGGAAATGGGTAAGAAGCAGCCAAAGTCTAAAGAAAAACTTCAGAAAACCATGGAGAGCTATCAGATTACATAAATAAATAAATAAATAAATAAATAAGAACAGTCTCCTTAAAAGAAAACTTTTAATAAATGTCCACCATTCTGTTGTTGATCTAAACTATTTCCAACAAACTGCTATTCTTACAGATCATAAACCTGGAGGACAGCCTGAAAAGACAAGAAAATCTTCTGCACAAAGAGAAGAACAAAATGGTGGGTCGTCGGACTTCAGTTCATCTACATACATGAGCGTCAACGACGTGAGCATCTCTCACCAAAACGTTTGTGAATGAAAACAAAAGTGCAGTGAAAAATCTGCGCGTGGGTTTGATTCCACTGTCGTGATTTACTGCGCATATCTCAGACCTGTAGCGCGTCAAAAATGTTCTGCAACTGTCTCGCAACAGCTGTCTTGTGTAATTATGTTGGCATTCATTGTGTTAAAAAACAACAACCACCAAGCAGCACCATCATAAAATACAAAAAACAAAGGCCCACATTCCGACTTACACGGCCTAATGTTATTTTAGTTCATGTCAGCAGCCGCAGAGAAAAAGCATAATTGAAAAGTTCTTGGTTGAGGAAAGGAGTCACACTTGCTGGTCTTGATGTGCTAACCATACTTCGTATGTCACTCAAACCTTGAGTCTAGAGGGCCCCTTTAGGTTGCATAACGTACACTAAACGAACTTTATTTGACTCAAACCCTCCCTGACCTTTTGTTTCCCATAGTCAGGCTTATAAACTTGCATGATAAAGTGACTCAAATGTACAGAAAACCCACTTTGGTTCTTTGGCACGCAGCTGTTTTCCATTTTGCAGCCCTTGTAGTAAAACCGAGCTTCTGAGAATGCTAAAGGAGGCCTAGTCTGGACCAGCTTGAAACAACCCAATTTAAGTCGCAGTACGGAGAAGTTACAGGACGTCCTGTCGGGGGGGAATATTGCAAAAGACGCTGAAGACTCGCCGTTCTAGGCCATTTTAAGTTTGCAGGGTGATTAAAACGGTTTCTCGGGAACGAGAAGGCCTGAAACATGAGAAGTTCAATCAGCTAAATGATGACTCTGAACAGAAGCAGAGACAGATGAAGGTATTTTTGGAAAACTTGCCCTATGATAGAACACATATGGGGAAAATTAGAAGATGGGAACCAACATGTGTAAATCCTGCTGCTCTGATGTAGCTGAACGTTTACGGAGTTATCTGAAGAATAACGATTAGGCTCAGAGTTGTAATCAGACGGTTGAGAACCTCTCATTTAGTCGTCATGTTCATGTTTGTGGGTGCGTGTGTTTCTAGTCTTCCATGATTTTGGTCACTTTGTCACATTTTTGCCCAGACTGACTTCTCCACAGTAGCATCCTAAAGACATTTAGGATGAATGATCTGTGCTCGCAGCAGAATTTACTCTGGTGAACTCCGTACTTAAGTTCACTAGTTGCATTTGGGGAACTTTTGGAGCATCCACATGTTAAATCATTAAGTTGTCCCATTTTAAAGCATTTCAAAAACATAATAGCTTATTGTTTCTTGTCTTTATTTGTGTCTGCAAAGGCTCAAGAGTTTAACGTGATCCGTGGCGAAATGTCAAAACTGAAGGAAACCATCGCCCACAGGGAGCTGGAGCTCAGTGTTGTGAGGAGGCTGAACACAGATCAAATGTTCTCGTTTGTGAGGATGTCAAAACGCAACCAACAATGTGCGTTTTCTTTGTGGTAGATGAGAGAAAAAATGGAAATGGCTGCCGACGAGCACCAGGAAAATCTGGTCAACACAGAGGACAACTTTCAGAAGGAAAAGGTAAAGAGTCTGACAACACCACCTAAAAACTGTCCCGCTGCTTCACGATACATACAGCTTCAACACTTTTTATCAAACTCATCTGTTCTGCTCTTGACTGAAAGGAGAAAGTATATTGGTGGGGAAAACAAGCTCTTACGTTAGTGAGGCTTTCTGTCAAATCCAGAATTGAATTCAAAATCTTACTTCTAACCTACAAAGCCCTCAACAACCTAGCTCCATATTATATTACAGATGTTATTGTTCCATATTTTCCTAACAGAGCATTTCACTCTCAGACTGCAGGCTTACTTGTGGTTCCTAGAGTTTCCAAAAGCAGAATGGGAGGACGAACTTTCAGTTGTCAGGCTCCGTTCTTGTGGAACCGACTTCCAGTTTGTGTCCATGAGGCTGAAACATTGTCCAGTTTTCAGACTGGGGTTAAGACTTTGCTTTTTGATAAATCCTGTAGTTCGGGTTGGCTTGTTTAGCTGCTATAGGCTCAAGGCCCCCACTTACTCAGGCGTACTGTGCGTACTCCGTGAGCTGCGCCGACTCTGCACGGACTGTCCGCAGACGGTTGAGACTTCATACTTGAGCGTACAGATTTTAATTCTCTCGTGACAAATTCCTTCATTTCTCACAATTTCAGTCATGGCGTCAATAGACGAAGAGGAAGCGATTGCTTGCCCCTTTGCAAAAAAAAAAAGAAAGAAAAAGAAGGTGGGACATGAAGACGATGGACAGCGAGAAACATTTTGAATATTTTTCGAATGGATTCTAGCAAGTTTGATGAGCTAGTTGGGCGCTTAGTCCTGTTCCTTCACCACCAGGGCAGCCACCGCACACCTGTCAGCGCTGCACGGAGAGCGGCAGTCACGCTGCGCGTCCTTGCGACTGGTTGCTCGAAACACAGAGAGCGGATGGTGTCGCATACAAAACAGTCCGTCGCCGGGCAGTTTATTGTGCGACACCGAGTACGCGGTCGTAAAAATTGATCTTTGCGCTGACATGGCCGGCGGACGTCCACTTCAAGTCCACGTTGAGTCCGCCTCAAGTATGCGCGTACCTCTGCGGAGTGAAGTACGCCCAAGTATGTCGGGGCCTTTAGACTACAAGAGGACAAACTGACCTGTTTCTTAAAAATGAATTGTTAAAACAGAACAGTTTTCATTTGATACCATTTCTATCTTCACATGTGATTCTGGACCTGCCATTGTGTATCTGTTCCTCCTTCCTGTCCTCTCAAACTCAGCCGGTTGAAGCAGATGGCCGCTTGTCCTGAGCCTGGTTCTGCTAAAGGTTTCTTCCTCATGAGGGAGTTTTTCCTTTCCACTGTCGCCTTCATGTTTGCTCAAGATGAGACTTCTGTGATGAAGTTAAACTCCAAGCAGTCTGCTCCTCTGATAATTAATGTTATTAACTTATATATATATATATATATATATATATATATATATATATATATATGAATGTTCAGTGTCCTGAGATGACTTCTGTTGTGACTTGGCGCTGTATAAATAAACTGAATTGAATTGAAATGAATTCAAGTTGTGTGAATGTCCTCGCAGGCGCGTCTACAGGAGGAGCTCGAGAAACAACACAGTCGGGAGATGGACAGGTTAAAGCTGGACCACCGTGTAGCTGTTGCGTGAGTGGTTTTGCTCCTTTTCAACGGCACTGTCATGCAAAACGCAGAGAAAAAAATAATTAACTCACTTGTGAGTTTATGTACATAAATATATATAACCAGGACTGATGTTATTCTTTCAACCACACGCAGATGACAGTGTGTATCTCCAGTCATCGTAAGGGAAGAATAAAGGCGTGTGGATGACCATAGTTTATTACCTTTTGAGGCCATAGGATGTGCTATTTTCACAGTTCATAGAGCATCAACATTGATACTGGTGTGGCCCTGCCAGTTTAGTGTCAGTATTTGATTTAACGTGGAACACAAAAGTCAAACACATCCGGTTTCTCCAAAAGAGCAAAACTTTAGAATACATTCAAAGCCACCATCTTTTCACGCAGGCTAAAATAAATTTACATGGAATGACATCGAGACTCGAACCTGAAACAAGTTTCTGAGCGCTTTTTTGTTGTTGTTTTTTGTTTTATAGCCAACTAGAAGGTGCATTGCGTTCAGCATTTGAGGAGCACAGTCACCTAAATGAAACCCTGACAAACACCATGAAGGAGGCAGAGGACCTGAAGAAACTGACGCACTCGTTGGTTGAGAAAAACAACTCGCTGGCGCTGGAGAAGGTATCAAAACACATCAAATGTGGAGCAGCAGCCCTCAGACAGAGACCATTTATCTCCATAAAGTCACCCTGGGTTATGAAACACTTGTCAGATCTGTGCAGAATATATTTCAGGTGTTTTTTTTTCCTCTTATTTACTTGTGCTGACCCTGGGTATTTTGCTTGTGGCCCCACAACACACCCACCCACCCCACCGAGCTCCTGACTGCTGTCCAGCTTCTCAGTGGTCAGTGGTTGTGGTCAGTTTTCCACTGGTGTCTGGGCTGAAAGTTACAGGCTAATACAGAGTGGCTGATTTGACAAGAAAAATAAATCCTGGGCACATTAATCTCACCCCTGATGATGACAGCAAAATCACGAGAGTAAATCCGCTCTGCTTACACTTTGGTCACTCACTCAGCACAAAAAACACGTAATTCTCTGTTTTATATTAGGAACAAAAAAATGAAAAGGATGTTCTAAAATTAGCTCTGTTATCCATTTATTTCCTCCTACATGCAGGACATGCACGAGTTGACTGCAAAGAACGCCGCAGCAAAGATGGGGGACTTAAAAAAAAACCTTTCTGAACACATGGCCAAAAATGCTTCTCTAGAGCAGGCCTTACAGCAAATGGAGGCTAAGCTTGAGCAGCAGGAGGAGAAGGAGAAGATGAACCTGGTCACCATCCAGGCCAGTCAGGTGGAGCTGGACAAGCTGCAGAAGGTCCTACATATGAGAGAGGAGGAGATGAAGCACGTCAAGCAGCTGGCGTGCATCGTTGTAGACAAGCGCAAAGAGGTGGAGAACTTCTTCCACGAAGCGTTGGCTCATGTGAGAGAGGAGATCGATGCCAGCAGACTCCACTACAAGAAGGAGGCACTTCGGGATTACCAGCGGAGGTTAAGAGAAGCCACAGCAGGAAAGATAAAGTTCCCACCCATCCGCACCTTCAATAAAAATCCCAACAGTACCAGTTCTGTGTATGCAGACATGGAGGCAACTGCAAAATGGTACGTCCACTTCCCTTTTTATCCTTCCCATGACTTGTACCCCTGTAGTTTAATATGTGATATTTTTACTTCCTCGTATTTGCTCAAGCTAAGTCACTGGGAGCTTGTAAAGTAATAAAATAGACTGTTTTGTCTTTTATATTCACTTTTAAATAAAGTGATTTAATTTCTGTTGTTTGAAGGCCTTATCCTGCAGGGAGTGAAGTTCACGTCTCAGATCTGACTTGGGAGCAGAAAGAACAAGTTCTCAGTCTTCTCTTTGCTAAAATGAATGGACAGGCGGAAAGGTAATAAGATTAACTTCATTTACGTCACACCGGGGAAATTCTCAAATTACTTTGGTGGACCATAACAGGAAAAGAGTCAAGAACTGCATATATAAGATTGAAATATAATCAAACAATATGTACAATAAGTGAAAACAATAGTGTTTGACAACTAACGCAAATATATTTTTCACACATGGTCAAAAATGTCTCGTCTGTCTCTGAATAACTGCTCAGAGCCCTGACAGCGTGATGGAGGAGATGGGCTCTGTTAAAGCATCTCCTATGAGCAGCTTATGTACGACTTGGCAAACATTTGCTCGTTGCTTTTCTCACTGACTACATCTCAGCTATTAAGTTAAAAATCCATTTGTAATCCCCCCCACCCCTAAAATGAGCAAAGACTTCTGCATCAATTAAGTGTGAAGAACAAAGTGCAGAGACACCAGTTGAAGCTCAAACGGCAGACTCCTCCCTCTTTTTAATGTTTTCTACAGCCATTTTCTCGGCAGAAGAGGATACCATAAAACATAAGTTAGGCTTCGACCAATTTTCTTTTCCATCCAGCTGCTTAAAAAGAATGAAGAAAGAGTCTGGGCACAATAGTAAAAATAGGCCCAGCCACAAAGTCGTGTGCTCGGAAACAAACATCTGGTCACGTCGAATTTCTTTCCGCTTATTGGTCCCTCTTCACGTGCTCAAACAGTTTATTTTGTTCTTTGAACACTTGTGGTCGAAGAGCAGCTGGTAACATGATTTTCAGAACGTACTGTGCAGGGGATATAGATGTATGGGACTGAGCAGGAAAAAGGAGAAGTGTATTCATGTTAGCAGTGGTCTGGCATCAAGTGAAGCAGAAAAACACAGAACGTTTGGCCAGTCAGAATGATCAGTGAGCAGCATCCAAATCTGGTAGCATTCAGTTAGCCTGGAGTGACCCCCATTAGGGCAGGCTGCAGGCCTGAGTAAAACAGCATAGGTCTGCTTTAAACAATCATTTCTATGGCCTAGATTAAACTGCAACTCTGCTTTTTTCCCCCTGATAGGAAGCACTACCATCATCAGGCCAATTGTGCATCCTCTGAGGAACAGAAGAGCCCCAGCTGACACCACCGTTGCCAAGTAAAACTCAAAAAGAATGCACCAGTATAAACTTTCTATCTCGTCCTTGCAATTTAAGAGTCCCGCTCAGATTTATTGGTCCCACATTGCATGAAAAAGCAGTGGCTGCCATGTGATTTATCAAGACGGTTGCATTTTAGCATTGCATAATGAGTGTCTTCCAGAATTAGAGAGGAGCTCTTCCCGGCGATCATCGGTCCCATTCCCTGTGCCCCATCAGGCGCCGGAGTCCAATCTGCCCTCAACCCCAAACAGCCTGTCGGGTCTGCACCACACCACATGACCTCAGCGTAGCCTGTACAGTTCACATCACGCTGAATAGTTTCTGTTTGTGTGTGTGTTTGTCGCTGAATACAAGATGTGCGTTTGTGTTTATTTAATATTTGCATTTTTGGCGTGTTAATGTTTGAGTTCCAGTAATATTCACCTGGAATTATTCACTCGAAAATCTAACAGGTAAATATTTAATATCAGTTTATTCAGGAACTGACAGCGATCTGGTAGTGCCTTCTCATCTGCACTGATTTGTATCATGCGCAGTTTTCAAATGTGTACTGTGTTTGTTTTTTTGTGGAGTATGGTTTGAAGTCTCATCAGGAGCACATTTAGCATCCCATGGTTGGCATGGTAACCGCAGGACTTGTCAAAGTTGCATCTTCAGCTTTCCATTGTGAGGTTTACGGTTTGGAGCCGCTTGTAGAACTGAAAACCCTGGGGGGAAAAAAAAATAAACATTAAAAACATAATGTTTACATGGCAAGTCAAACGGTGACGTGTTTTTCTTTTCACATTAAATTGGGTTCACTTGGTTGCTTACTTGTTTCCCGACAAAGTTTGGCTCCCCTTTGAAAGATCTTCTCGATCCAGTGAAGAAGAACGTTGGCAGAGGCACAGGGATGGGCACTCCGACTCCAAACCTGCGCATAACAAGAATCCTTCCTTTCATTTTCGTAAGTGCAAGTTTCGTAGAACAATGCCAGGAGCCTAAATTGTTGGGATGAGCGCAGCGCGGCTGACGACAGAAATGCGGTGCGTCTGCACCGTTTCAAAAACAAGCCTACAAGATCGCACCAAACAAAGCTAAACCTGCGGCTTACGTCTGCTGTTTTGGAAGCAAAGCATCCTCTTATTAGAGGGAGCAAAGCTAAATAAAACATTTTGTTTTGAAAACTGAAGAGGCACGGTTGGTTTTGAATGTTTGAAATAACAGGAGTACGTCTGGACACACTTGAGGCCTTTTGGTGAAGGTGTATGGAATGAAAAAAACAAAGTAGATGTTTGTTGCACAGAGGTTTGGAAAAGTGCACAACACTTGGCCTGCACAATATTCCCCGACATGTGAACAGCAAACACAAGGCATAACTGGACTCCACAGGCAAACAAACAGCTGAAGGCTGACCATGTTTATGCAGAACTGCTGAGCACAAACCTAGGAATCCCTTTCGACTTTTAATGTAAGATTTCCTTTCCCTTAATACCTGGAAGAAAAAAAGTTTCTATGCCCTTCTGTTTTCTTTCAACACACACACATGTTTGCTTTATCTATTTGGAGACTTCGAGGGAGGGGAAGTGGAGAGAACAGTTCAGGCCATGGTGTATATTTTAAGCCAGAAGCAAACAAGGACATACGTGACGTGGAAAATACCCTTTTTTTAAATTTGTGAGGATTTACAAACCGGATCACGATGAGCTCCCTGCCCGAGATGCTGCGCAGACGTGAGGGATGTGAACGCCTCCAAAAACAAAAAGGAGCACGTTTGGAGATCACAGCCTCGCTCACCTGGCCCACGTCCACTTCATGAGTGGATTTTTGTGCCGTAGCACCATTTGTGGGGAAGATGGCGGTGCCGTATGGTTCTTGTTGACCAAACTGATGGCATCGTCTAGATTTCTGCTTCAAGAACAATCGACACCGGCCCTAGGATCTCTTCAGTGTAGCACTTCATGTCAGTCTGAAAGCACAAAACAAACACTTTAATAATCATCATTCTACAAATGGGTTTGTTTTAATGAATGTAAAGACAAATACACATACTGTGACACTGCTGATGATGGTGGGGCATCTTGACGTTTCAGCCATCCAGGAGTATGGCCTCTTCGTACCGCTCTGGATCAGACGCTCTCTCCTTGGCTTGTGGCGAGATCAGTGGCCCCACATCCGCACCAGGCCGGTCTCCTAACAGGACCCCAAAAACAGTCAGGTGTAATGTTACACACCACGCTACATTAACTGCTGACAAGCAAAGGTTTCTTTTGCCACAAACACTCAAAATCCAGGACATGGAGTACCCTGAGGCACTCCCTCCTAAACAGATACTTGCGGGTTTCCTGTGCAGAACACAAATTTACTACAACTCCACGTCTCTTTAAACAGGGAGAACTGATCTCCATTTTACCTCAGGTCAACTTCTTCCTGAAAGGATCTGATGGTCAAAAACCACCATTTAGGTCTGGACCACAGATTTGTAACATGACTGACTCAACAGCCCTCATTCCTGTGAAATTAAAACGGAGCGGACGGCAAGAGGTGAGGTTAGGGCGGCATGGGTGGCCCGAAAACCAAAAAGCCCACTTCAGGATAGCAGGAGAGGTGAACGGCGGGGTGGCGGGCGTGGTACCTGCATTTACTCTTAGAGCCTTGGCACGCTCCACCAGCTCCAGCAGCCAGCTCCTGCCTCACCCAGCAGGAGGGCTGTGCACAAAGCCATGCAAAGCTGTCCTGCAACCCCGAATGCTGCATCCACAATCTTATTCAAAGTGTTCTTTTTGTTGGCATCAGGCTTCACCACGACATGGTTCTTAACACCCTGCAGCACAAGAAGCAGTGCTCTGATGTATGAGCTCCACAACTGGTTACTCACATAGGGACACATGAAGTGAGGTGTTTTAAAACGGACAGAGACTAAACAAATGGTATGATCTAGCTTTCTTATGGTGATGCACATCTGTACATTTGACAGATACTGATGGTATAACAGAGCTGATCATCATTTTTTTAAGAGCCTACATCAAAACAGCTGGAATAAATTTAAAGGCTTATGTTGACCAATGCTGCCACCTGCTGGACACTTACAGCAAGTATTTAAATCAAACCTCGGTCTTGAACAGTAATTACACACTCACCATGTTGGACTGGACATTTTCTTCCATTTTTACAGACACTCACATAAATATTCTCCCCAGCTTGGTTTGAGCCCACAAAGCTGATTGCCTTGAGGGCTGGATGGTCACAGACTAAATGTAGGAAATAAAACTATATCAGCACATTTTAAAACATTTATACATCAGCCCTATTTATTAATAATTGTTTCCTTTATTACATGACAGAGCATAGCTAGTGATGAACATGTGAGAAAAATTATTAATATTCCACACTGACTTTTAGTAAGTAGTAAATCATTGCAGAAAGGTAACAAAAACCAACTCTTATCATGTTGCCCATGTATGATGTTCAGCATCCCTTCTGGAGCACCTGTCCTGCAGCATCTTAGCCACCTGCAAGGAACAAGACGGCACCTGCTCAGATGGCTTCAGAGAGTAAGTGTTGTCACACACCATCCCTACAGGAAACATCAGGGGATTCTGCAAAGAAAAACCACCAATTGGACATACACACACGTATTCATCAAACTGTGCAGCAGTTTGCCTCGAACATTTGGTTCTACTCTACAAAATGGTTTGTCTAACTTCATTCAGAAGTCCTCAATCCTCTAAAAAAACAAAAAAAAAAACTTCCTGCTTTTGCATCTGAAAGCGTCTTGGCCTGTTCCAGCATGAAGGACTTTGTCAGTTCTTTTTAAAAACACAAGCAGATTTTTATATTTGTCAAGAACTGTCAGAGCTCTGTGATGGATTTGCAACCTGTCCAGGGTGTACCCCACCCCTCGCACAATGATTACCGGACATGGGCACCGGCGACCCCCGTGACCCAAAATGGAAGAAGCGGGTAAAAGATAATGGATGGCTGGATGAAGAACTGTCAGATTGAGGTCCTAAAACGTTTACAACCTATTTAAAATTAACAGCCCTGAAATTTTTCTCAAAAGAATAAAACCCAAGTTAAATTTGCTGCATTATAAAAGTCTTTTTTGTGCATTCAGTCAAGTCTGGCCCAATTGACTTACAGTATTGTCCCTAATGAGCTGCTGATAGTGCAGAAAGATTTACTGCTGAATCAAGATGGAGGTCTTTGACCAGCACCGAAAGGCTCTGGAGCACAAGTCAGCAGCAGCCAGCATCTCCTCCTGGGTGGATTTGGGAACACAAGCAACTAGACTGAGAAATAAAATGGAGACGTACAATTACAATATGTGAAGTATTTTTGGAATAGGTTCATGTTTTACTCAGCTGTCAACACTTTAAATTGTGTCCTAATAAGGAATGTAATTTCATTGCAACCAACGAGTCCCAACATGCCGAGGTACTGACAGTGGTGAATATCAAGCCATTCTGAAGACTCTACAAACTTCCCATCTATAAAATGTTTTAACAGTCGGCTGTGAGGAGACAATTATCTCTTCATCAAATATTAATCTGAGAGAGAGATATTTCACCCACCACTGAGGCGGAGGAGTGCAAACATCCAATGTTAAGTGGAACCAGAATAAATAAATATAATTGTGATGATGGAGAATTGGAGATAACCTTGCTTCTTGTTTGCCTTTAAAATGGCAATGAATTGGAATCATTCTCATTTTATATATATCAAAAGCTCAAAATATTAAAAAATGAGAACGATTATAATTCATTGAGAATTTAAAGAGGAACAAGAATGAACCCAATTCTCCATCACGGTTCAGCATCACAATAATAAATAACCTGTCTACATTACTTTAAATTAAGCACAGAATAACCAAACTAAAGATGACCTTAATTCTTAATAGTGAAACTCTTGACATCATGGTGAAAAAAAAAAAATTAGTGCTAGGCTGACTTGGTTTGTCCAACACCTCAGATTGCCATAAAACCGCAATCAACTATTTCCCTCACAAAGATGGACAGTGCGTGGGCGGGCTCTGCGAAAGACTTGACTCGCTATTGGTTACATTTTCACCTGCCCACAAAAAAGCGCAACTTGATTGGACAGCTGTCAAACCAACCCGACCAATCACCAGCTAAGATTTTAAGTCCCGCCTCTTAAGATTCCGAAACAGGATATTACGTAATGGAGCTAAACTGTGTCGAAAGTCAAAGTAAAATCGCTGCAATAACTAACCTTATGCGTCATTCTAATTTTTATTAATCTTAAAGGCTAATCGGGGAGAATTTACAGAGATAGGTGCAGAACATAATTTGGTCAATAAGTTCAGTTTATTGTGATTAGCAGCAATGCAGCTAACGCTAGCTAGCCTAGCCAAGGTACTGTTATATTCATTCCCGTTAGCAGTTTGTCTTGCTAGTTTGTGTACTCCAGCTGTATGTGACCCAAACACGTCCAGATGTTGTTAATCAAGTCATGGACCAAAGTGTAGGTAGGAGGGAGATTAGGGACGGTTCTGATTGGCTGTTGAACGATGACGGTAAGTTGCAGAAAGAAAAGTTTTTTAGCAAAACTCGAGCCACTTGAATTGAAGCAAGCTAGATTCAAAGAGCTATGGCAACACAAACAAAGGTGAAGGTAAATAAATGCACAAGCAAATGTATTTTTCAAGGTGTTCACTTTCTTTTTCCTGTTCAGCCTGTACTTCATGGATACTTCAGAAGTTCCTGCTCCTGGAGGGTCCGGATTGGTGAGTCATACCAGGAGGTTGAATTGTTCTGCAAATCATTTTAACATCAACAAGATGATCGTGTGTTATTGTGCCCAGCTTTCGCTCTGAAAGGCATCGAGTATGACCAAGTTCCAGTCAACCTAATCCAAGATGGAGGTCAGCAGGTACAAACGTGCTCTTTATGAAAGCAAAAGTAAAAATGCTACTTTATAATTCAGATGTGAATGTTATCCCCTTGTTCTGACAATTAAACTATGCTTAAAAAACTAAAGATGTGCAATGTAAGGCAGAATGCAAGGAGTAATCATTTCAGGGCTGAAATTCCAGATTATGCAAATTCAAAATGAGAAATGATCTGCATTAGCAGATTGGAACAGATTTGGTCATTTGGAGTTTAATGCCAGTAATCCCACCCACTGCAAGAAAAAAAAAACTAGACAGTGTTGATTGAGGGATCAGGTTCCTTGGTAACAGTTTTGTCACTAGTGTAACTGAATACAAAATGAGCATCCCCTAAAGGTAAATATAAAATTAGGCTCAGGATAAATGTTTTCAAAGTCATAGAATTTGGGTCTTCAAAGAAAGATTCAGAGATTCTTTATCGTCATTCGGAGAACATGTGGCACGAAATTATGTGCACAGGGTCTCGGTTACATCCAACAATAAAATGTAAAAGAAAAACAAACAGTCATAAGATCTAAAGATATGAACTAAGAAAGCCATTTGACTTTCAGTCTGTTCTGTGCAGAGCTGATTATCTTTGGCGTCTCTAAGAAAAGACGACTCAAAAGCACAATTTTTTTTAAATTTCCTCAGCAGCAGTTTATATATTTTTTTTATTTAACGGTTCATGGAAGCATCAAGTGCAAGTTAAAACTTTGCTGCACAACATCTGTCTGGCCTCTCTGCATTCCAGACTTGTTTAAAACTGAAAAGATTAATTCATTGCATCGTTTCTATGCACCAAACTTTTCTCTTCAAAAGTAGCATTTTAGAAAAATGTCAAAATGAACAATATACTCTGGACAAAATGATGCATTGATTTAAAAGTTTCTCTCTGCACCTCAGCTCAAAGAGCAGTACAAAGCACTAAACCCAATGCAGCAAGTGCCTGCAGTGGAAATAGATGGCATCGCACTGTCTCAATCAGTAAGTGGCACAACTAAAGTATATGTTTTGGTTCAATCTGAATTATTAAATGTTATTTTGCTCCTGTAGCTTGCAGTGATCCAGTACATAGACGAGACCAGACCAGGACCTCGTCTTCTTCCTGCAGACCCAAAGGCACGCGCTCAGGTTCGAGTCATAAGTGACCTCATTGCTTCAGGAATTCAGCCTCTGCAGGTGAGTCTAAAAGTTGAGATTTGTCTACTTCCATTTAAAAGCGTCTCTGTAATAATTTTTATGTGGGCGTTTCAGAATTTGTACGTGCTCCAAAAAATAGGAGCAGAGAAGGTACAGTGGGCGCAGCACTTCATCAACCGTGGCTTTCAAGGTTGGTGGAAGCTTGATTCTGATTCGACAAAAAACGGTTATTACAAAAATCAGGTTTCCTTTAAAAGGTTTGAATGCCTCATTTCTCCTCCAGGTCTAGAGCAGATTCTGAAGCAAACCTCTGGAAAATACTGTGTTGGTGACGAGGTACGAGCAGGACGAGCAGATCAGAAACTAACAGAATGATGAGATCCAGCGCAGACTTTTCATTTTGTTCATTTTCTTTTAGATTTCCATGGCAGACATTTGCCTGGCTCCACAAGTCTACAACGCAGAGAGGTCAGTTAGAAAACATGCTTAAAATTTCAGGTTCATTTGTCACACTGAACAAGAAGAAATCCATCCAAAAGTTGATGGCATTTTTTTTACTGATTGCATTTGAGCACGTTTTTTTTTTTTTTTTTTTTTTTTTGTAGGTTTAAAGTGGACATGGAGCCGTTTCCAACAATCAAAAGATTAAACGAGACCTTGCTTGAGATTGAAGCGTTCAAAGCGAGTCATCCGTCTCGGCAACCAGATACACCTGCCGATCTTCGAGCATAAGATGACATCGAGCTTGAGACTTGTGCAGAATTAAAGTGATTACAGAATTAATAAAGTGATTAATTAAAAAGTGTTTTATTGAGTCAGTTAAAAAAAAGGTGGTGGGGGGGGGGGGGGGGGGGGGCTTGACTTGAACACATATCAAAGTCAATCTTAGTAAATGACATTCATACAAATACACAGAACAGAGCACAATGTGTAAAACATGCAAATCACAGATTTGTTATGCAAAGTGGAAAACCTCAGTAATCCGTGCTAGCAGCACATTACTGGTACATGTGTTGTGACAGTATGGCTGATTAGGAGTCGGCTCAAGCAAAACATTTCTCATCAGATTAAGGCCTTCATTGTTGGCTGAATGTGATGATTTGTAATCTCCACTGTACACCTGAGTGTATCATCATAGAAGGAACCTGAACAATCTGACCCACCGAACACCAACAAAGTGCACGTAATATTAGTGTCCCCCTGTGTGGGCGTCTCAGACTGTACTGGGATGGTACAGCCCAAATTTATCATGCTGTGTCCTGCACGGGGCTTGGAGCAAAGCTGTGGAGATGCCACTGAACTCCACATAAGAGTATCTGAAAATAAACTCCCTTTAGTTTAAAAACGACTCGTGAATAAGATTTTTACCTGCGAAAGGGATCAAAACTCACCAATGTTGAAGATATGAACATCTAGCAGCGCTCCAATTGCACTGCAGCCTCCGCTGATCAAAATCCTGTCATCCAACACTGGAACTGCTGCATGAAACCTGCCAGTTTACAAGGATTTTATTTATACTATAGATTATTTCATGTTCAGCTTAACAAAAATTAGCAATGCCAGAACATATATAAAATAAAAAAAAATGCTTTAGGTCAAAAACACCCAAGAAAAACTAAAAGCAGATGGCTATGCTTGATGACATCCATCAAGGCTGATTAGTTCTGGACTCACCCTCGAGGCAGAGGTGGCATGTTTGCACTTTTCACAGCTGTGTACTCCATCATGCCTTCAATCAGAAAGGAAATAACCAATGAGAATCTGGCCACAATTTTCTCATCGATTTCATTAATTGAAAGCTTTCTTACCCAGATCTAAAACATGGAGATCATTAAGGTAGGTCGCAGTTTTCTGCCCACCAAAAATGACAAGTTTCTGAGACAGAAGTGTAGAGCTGTGCCTGTAAGCACAGAGTCAGTACCGTAAACATTATCAACGTAAAATGACGGAGGTGGTTTAGTAAAGATGACTGACCCAAAGCGAGACAGAGGCTTGTTCCCCTCCACAATAGGCTTGTACCAGAGTTCATGCTCAGGGTTGAAGATGTACAGAGCATTGCTGCAGGATCCATCCCCCTGTGAACGGCTCGACTGAACGCCTCCAAAGACAAAAAGCTCTTTCTTGTAAATTACAGCTGAGTGATATGCAAGATGTGGCACGTTTCCCTTAGCCTTGAAAGAGGAAAATTCAAATTCACAAAACAAATTCAAGTGTTGATTTAGTGACCAAAAAAAAAAAAAAAATGCATGTCACTTAGGTTTATGCAGTAGTTTCAAATTTAGAAACAAAACTTAGTTTATCAGCGGACCATTTTAACAATGCAAAAAACATTTTTCAAAAGAAAAACTTGTAAATACCGCAATTTTTAGAAAAAATTATAAAAAAAATAATTAAAAAAATCACCATGTAAACCAACATTTCTGAAGAAGATTCAAATGAAGGTTGTTATTCAGGCCGACAAACAGAAAGCATCCACAACAGGAGCAATCAGCTGAAATAATGGAAAGAAACGAAAACTACAAACTAGTTTAAACATTGAAATGTCACCGTAGTCAACGGAGGGAAGAAATGTCACAGTTATAAGGTGTTTCCTAGCATTCAGAGTTAGACAGGATCTGTTTCTGAAAAAGAAACCCAGTTTAACTTTCAGTTTCCTTACTAGGTTTTCCACGTGAGGGAGTCGACCAAGATACCCAAATATTTATAGAAATCAACAAACTCAATAGGGACACCATTTGAGGAAAAAAATCAGAGGAAGAACTGATGGGACTGACTTCCAGTTTGAAAACAGCATCCCTTTGGTTTTAAATCAGCATTTAGGACAAGTTTGAGGCGGAACAAATCTGACTGGATGATGTCAAAGGTGGATTGCAAAGGCTGGAAAGCCTTAGCAACTGTTTTAACTTGACAACAAACAACTGTGTCATCAGCATAGAAAATGTATGGATGCATCAGGGATGCTTTGACCTACATTACCTATGTAGATTGTAAAGAGGGTGGGTCCTAAGACTGAGCCTTGTGGTACACCATTACTGACTGTTAGATAACTGGAAGAAATACAATTATGTTGAACATATTTTTTCACGTTTTCAGTCAGTTGTGTTTGAGAGGCTGGAGCTAACAAACAAAAAGAGGTTTTACAAAAAGGAAAATTGTCAGGACCACAGAGGATAAAAGGGTCAGGATAGAAAACTAAAACGCAAATCTTTAAATAAAATTTTTTTTTTAAAAAAAGAGCAGAAAATATTTCTTACATAATTGTAAGAAATTATGCTAAGCAAACTGTATATTAAAGAGTACAACAAAGAAAATAGACTAAGTCCATGCCTTAGATTCAAGTGGACAAAAGTCAAAGTGTTTCTTAATTCCACCAATTCTCTTTACAACTGACTGCTTTGGTAAAAAATAAAAAACGACTGAAAGTAATATTTTCATGTATTTGAACAAACCTACAGTGACAAGGGTCCACTTCCAGGACAGAGTATTCATGATGTACACCACACTGTTGCTCGGACCCTCCGTCAGGCCACCGTACACGTAGACCGCCTTGGAGTCGGGGTCATAAGTTGCAGTGTGCCCTCTAGCACAAGGGGGCACGGGCCCAGAAGCAGTGGAGTTCACGGGGAACCAGAAGTCTCTGTCTGAAAACCATAAAGAAATGCAGTTCCAAGTGATGCACGTCAAATCTGATGTTTTCACAGCCAAACGTGCCCCACTCACCCAGCTCGAGCTTCCAGAGGGAGTCCTTGCAGTAGTTCTGCTCTGAAGTTTCCCCTCCGATGAGGACGGCTGTATCAGGGTCACTCAGACACATCGTATGACACCAGCGCTTTGTCAGACACACTGAAACTAATTATAATCTGCGATTAAAATATAAAATCTGACATTCTTGTGCACTCATCGTACCACATTGATGTTTGCTTCAAACCTTCTCTGGACTCATTTTTAATCTGCGCACTCATTTCCTCTTGGCTGCTCCTGGACAGCTTCCTCTTCTTGGGGGTAGAAGACTGGTTTGTGTCCCCTGCAAGACTGTCCAAATCCTCAAAGCTCCACTGCAGGTGGCCCTGACGATTAGTGACTGTACGCCTGGGAGTCTTTTTCTTTCAGTCACACACACAGACCAGTTACCTGCCTCATATTGGATAATATTAATATTCATAGACAAGACACTCACTGTAGGCCAAACTGCAGGGTGGGCAGAGTTACTGGTGTCAATTTTAGTCACTTGAATCTGAGCACAACAAACTCCACTGCTCATGTGGGAGGAGTCGGATGTGACCTGAAAAGATGTGCATGAACTAAACCGCGACAGGTTTACATTCAAGTGACGACCGACACAGAAGCAGTCCGTCTCACCGTTTCCCCGTCGGCTCTTTGGTGTGACGTGTTGGAGCGATCGGCTTCACTGTGCTCCTCTGGGAACAGACGTCTCCTCTGAAACAACTGAGTACTGCTGAGGACACTGGAGTCATCCTGCAGCTGCTGAAAACAGTTCGAGTGCTCCAAAAATGCGTTTCTGCAAGCTTCATTCAAATCTCCATCACCACTGAGGCCCTACCTCTCCACAGACCTTCAGCACCAGCTTGCCATACAGACCCCTCCTGCCTTTTGCTGCAGACACCCTGGTGATGTCATCGCTCCAGTCACCTTCCCAGGTCAGGCACCTGAGTTAGAAAATTACTCTGCATTTTTTCCCCACATTAAAAAGACTCATTTCCCTCTGTCTCGCCCACTTACTTGACTTGTGAGGACAGAGTCCCTATAATCTGGGCTGGGACGTCCTCACAGACCAGAACTTCGGCTAAGAGCGTGGTCTCGTCCCACAACCACTCCCCAACACCAAAGATGACCACTTGTTTGGGAAGAGGCAGCGGGATGTGGACTTGAAAGCACTTCCGATTAGCTTTGCTGTGGCAGGAGAACAATAAGCGTCAACCCTGTTTTTACTTTAAAACAACGACGCGTCAAGTTTTAAATCACATACCGAACAAACTGCCGAGGGGCGTCACTCAGGGACCAGATGACGTAAAAATCCAGCTTCCCCATTTTGTCTGATCCCTCAATCAGCGATGCAACTAGAAGGTGTGGAGGTCGCCTCTGATTGGGTGAGAACACAGCACACCTGAGAACAAGGAACAATTAGCCTAGTGCTTTAAAAGTACAAACCGTAGAGGCAAAATAATAAGAAAAAAATAAAATAAAATTATGAATGCTGAAGAGAAATATGCTACTAATCTACTGCTGATTAAAATCACCTACAGATAAAAATGTATAATTGTGATTGACTTCTTAGTTTTCTGTGTTTTTATGCAATTTAACTACTGCATAATTTGTGCTATACATAACTCAAAATTGTCCCTAGGTGTGAGTGAGAGAGTGAATGGTTGTCTTATTTGTCTCTGTGTCCCTGTGATGGACCGGAGACCTGTCCAAGGTGTCCCCCGCATCTTGCACAGTGCTGGACATGGGCACCAGTGACCCCCGCGACCCGTAAAGGAAGAAGTGATGATGAATGGATGTTCCAAATCATTCATCTCATTGAGGATCTGTGTGCTCTGACGTTAGGTTTTTGTAGCTTTTATATTTTGATCAATATTAAAATATTACAGCTATTTCCACATTTAAATATAGATCCTTTCAATTTATTAAAACATTCAATTATATACTTAAACTCACACATTTGCTCTATTTCTGTCATCTGAAGCCGCTTTTAGTTTTTGTTCTACTTCCAGCTTAGCTTGCACTTTGCTACTTTTAGCTTTAAACTATCTTGATATTTTAGCTTTCAGCTACATTTAGCATCTAGCTATTTTTTTTTATACCTGTAGACGTTTTCAACTATTAACTTTTAGCTAGTTTTTTTTGTTGTTTTGCTACTTCAGCTCTTTGCCACTTTTAGCTGACATATTGCTGCTTTTAGTGTTTTGATACATTAGCTTTTAGTTATCTCTTTGCTACTTTTAGCTAACACTTTGCTGTTTTTAATTAGCATTTTGCTACTTTAGCTTTGGGCTAGATTTTTTGCTACTTTTAGCAAACATTATGCTGCCTCTTAATGTTTGCTACCTAAGCTTTCAGATTCCTTTTTTTTGCTACAAACTTTTTGCTGTGCTGTTTATATTTTGTATTCTAGAACAAATGTGTCATTATTTTTTTTACACTATTTTCACCTCCACCATGTGCAGCATGGAGCAAGAAGGGATGTTACAAAGATTTCTCATATTGCAGCACTCCTTGTGGTTTAAATGTGCTGATTCAGCTCATAATCAAGTATTTTTAGGGAACATAAACTGGACTCGCACAACGAGGCAGGTTAAAACTGTCTTGTTGCTTTTACGACGCGTGAGTGAGACTAAATGTAACTTCAGGATTGTAAATGGCCTTCGGGGAGCGCTGAAAATAAACCCAGGTTTCATCAGCACCTCTGTAACAATTACATCAATTCCCCTGCGTTACAATTTAATGGAAGCACAAGGGATTATCTTAAGGTGCGCTCTAATCCTGGACCTGCAGAGGGACTGAGATGAAATGGCAGCAACTTGGAGTTAAATGGGCGGCAGCGCAGCGATTTGCATCGGTTTTTCTAAAATAACATTTGTCATTTACATGCACCACTGTTCACTTATTCCCCAAAAAAAGGTAGACAATCTTCTCTTTATTGAGGATTATAAATTTCAGGGACAAAGATCAATAGCTGAGCTTACCTGAAAAAGGTACAGCAAACATGGGAAGCTTTAAATCTGTTACTTTATTTTGCATACAACAGTAGCAGCCAAATCTAGGACCTCTTTGGGAACATGCACGAGTGAAAGTGTCGATTTCACAAAGACGATTGTCCAGCCAACCCACACAGAACAATAAAAAAACAAACAATAAAATTGTGCACAAAACTCAACTGTGATGAAACACTGCGACTGGTCTCTACCTTCAAAACTGCTAATTAAAACGTGGGCAAAGCTAAGTAAATATTGAACTATATTACATAAGAGATTTTATTTGTGTCGTAAAAAGCACTCTGAGCGAAAAAAAAAACAACACTTTAATACGTTCGACATATTCTTTTTACCAACACGCTAATGTGACAGCAGACAGAATTAGCTTCTTATGATTAAATTCAACTTAAAAAAAAAAAAAAAAAAAAAAGTTACACCACAAAGCTGACTGATACGGCAAACAGCAACAATGCGGCAGCATAAGGTGCGTACAGACACACAAAAACCTTCATTTCTTTAGCGCACGTGTGATTAAGCACCTGGCCTGGTAAAATACACTCGATGCAGGTGTTCCCTGACTGCTGCTACCGTAGAAATGTTACAGATGGAGACATAGGTTTAAAGACGGGCACTTGACCGAACAGCACAGTGCATAAACGGGCATATGGCACATATGCAAATCTTTAAATATATTTTAGCAAGCCACTTAAGCAGGTGATGCATTCAAGCCTATTACATGTATTGGACACAAGCAGATAAAAATAGATATATATATATTTACGTGTAAAATCAAAAATAGTTCATTGTCCTTAACAGTAATATTCCTCTGTAGATCAAACATTCATAGAGAACACGCCGGCGTCTCAGGCACTGTAATAAACATTATAATAGAGAGTTTTGTTCCGCCAAAGGGAGTACGAGTTGTCAAACTTGAAGAGGTAAGTGCCTTCACCTGGAAACTCGTGGCTCCCGCCATGGACGGACAAGTGGCTGTCCTGACGGTACACAGGTAGGATTTCAGCCAAGTTGGAGTTGATTTGATTCTTGGAGCCTTTTTCCACGTCTTCACTGCTGCGAGGCCCTGCAACACGAACCACACGAAGCAGAAAGTCAACAAGCTGCCTTGGTAATTGATGTGGGGTTTGTGAAGCATCTAATATTACTTTAAAGAACTTAAGGTCAGTTTGAGCTGCTTTGAACATCTAAATTGCAAGCTGACCTTCCGGTTCCTCCTCTTCATCTTCGTCATCGCTCGACTCACTGATGTGCACTGTGATAGCTCTGTTCGTCACGGGGCTCCGGTCAAAATAAATGCCAAAGCCGATGTCGTAGCCATCTGTGGTGAACTCCCAGCACACTTTCTTAGCCTCGGGGACAGTGGGGACGTTGACCGTCATGATGTCGCCTCGGTACACCGTCACCACGCTGTCCTTCTCCGCTCGCAGCTTCGCCTTCAGCTCCTTCTGTGTAGCAGATGTCCAAGTTGTTGGGGGCTGCAGCGGTGGCATCTGGGCTGAAGCCAGACAGAAAAAAATCAGCCGCAGGATACCGTTTTTATGAAAACGATGCATCCAAATGACGACTAAGCAAAGCAAAGAAGTCGCACTCCGCAGGTTCCCACCTTTCATCTCAGAGGACAGCTGACAGCTCCCAGCACTGTTCTCCTCGCCTCCTTCTTTCAAGGCCACCTCAGCAGGAGCCTCTTCATTACCCTCAAAGTGCACACGCATACGGTATATTAAAAAAAGAACAAAATCAGGCCTTTCTTGTGCATTCACGTTCGCCGACAGCTCTTATTACCTTAGAAAGCTGTCTTGAATCCTCACTTTCATCCATATCAGACCGGGTAGAGCTCTCAGAAAGATTAGTATTCTGAAGCCTGTAAATAAAAACAAATAAACAACAAAAAGGCTAAAATGTACATGTTGTATAATCAGTCCTCCTTTTCCAGTTTGTTGAGCAGCTCTGAGCAACAGGTTACCTGTCCGGTGGTGTGCTGCTGCACTGTTTGGATGTTATTCCGGGGAAGGACGAGAAGGACAAGGAAGACAGCCGAGACTGGAGCTCCGATGTAGCCTCTAATCTCTCCATGGCTGTCATGACAAGACAAACACCGCTGTGTGTGTCGGTGTGTGTGTGTGTGGAAGAGAGGACACTCCGCCCCTCACAGCCAGGAGGGAGACACAAGACAAGTTAGCCTCTTTACACAGCCGGGACACTAAACAAGCTGCTGCTTGACACGTTTCAATATTTCCTGACCACAGTCGAAGCGAAAAACGCCGCACGCCCTCATCTGTTAGATTAAATCCTCCTTAGCTTGCTTTAATCTTTAACTCGTATTACAGCTGGCTAGCTGTTAGCTACAGCTACTTTTGGCTTACCACGATGTAGCGCTGATTGTCTGATGTGAATTTACTTCAAAACAACTCAGGATAACAAAAGAATCGCCTCCATGTCACCACAATCAGGTGACAAGTCCTCTCGACGAGCTGCTGCTTCTTCGCAGGAAAAAAAAAAACCGTACATTTCGGTGACTTCCGGTTTTTTCCGAGCGTTGCCGGAAATCTCCGAATCTTACAGGATGTTCCGGCTGCAACATCTGGATGCTTTTGAAAAACTGGGCCATGTTAATTTGAAAACTATGATATATATATATATATATACAAATTTCATAGCACTTAAAAATATTCATGGACATTTTAATTCAAATAACTTTATATTACTTTTAAGTACAAAACTAAAAATGTAGCACCTACAAATAAAAAAAAAACACTTTCAGTTCAACAAATATATTTTATTTAAATTGCAACAGTGCTGAGCAAAAGTCTTGAGTTTTCTCTAGTTTCTTTAAAATTTGATTTCAAGGAGCTGGGCTTTCTTGTAATCTTTTAAAGTGGTTTTGATCAATAGTTCTTCAGGTCTTCCAAAAAAAAAAAAAAAAAACTGCTGCTGTTTTTATTAATGACATCATGTAGGACTACCAAAATGAAGACTGTCTCGGAAACATTGTAATCCCTGCTTTAATCATAAATTAAACAGATTCAAAACTTCTACAGAGTGTGTTATATCAAATACAAGTGGTTAAGAAAAAGAGAAGGTATATTAAATTGTTCAGATTAAAATACTTATCCTAAAAAGACTAAGCATTAAAGAAGTAATAATTTGTTGGATTTTAGAGCAATATGGGTTTACAGTATTTTTTCTAAAATGACACAATAAAAGCCATATTTAAAAAAATATTTGGTGTATAATGGCTTTGCTATATATTAAAAACCATGTATTTTTTCTTTATGAAACAACTATTTTCATATTCTAATCATATCGGTCTCTGTAGGAATGATTTATATGCTGCATAGATGCACTGTTGCACAGGTTTGCTGCTCGACACAAAGCACAGCAGTGGGGTCTCCTTGGTTTGGGCATCAGTGAGAGAAATCCAGGGAAAAGGCCTTTGTTGTGTAAAGAAAATGAGATTCAAATTAATAATTTTGCTTTTCTTCATCTACTCCTCAATTCATACACCTCTGTGACCTTGAGCTACTCACTCAGCCGGATACAGAACAGATGCACAAGAGGAGCTGATGAAACTCTGCGCCTCTAATCGCTCGTTGTTAATCCAGTCTTTGTTGAATACGCCATTAATTAGAGAAAGAGCCTCGCCGGATCCCAAACAGGAAGAAGTGCAGATATTTAACAGGCTGTACATCACTCCACAGACCCAGTTCAAACTCAAAGTAATGCCATCTACAAATTGAAAATTAGGATCAGCATTCACAGAATATAAGTTTATTAGCATTAAATAAAATAAAAAGGGTTTACTACAAAAAAGCTCTGATGTTTGAGAAAGTATACCTTTCATAGTAAGAGGACATGACGCCTCTCTCAGTGAGGGATCTGACAAAGCTGCGGTCAGATCAGAGCAGGTCAGCCACACGTCCGCAGTGTCACAACTTTCAAACTCATACTTGGGTTTGAGAACAAAACTGTGCCCAAGACGTTCAGCTAAACTGAAAAAAAAATAAATAAATGTTAAAGCGGGATTAGATTGTTAAAATCAGAAGTAGAGGTTACAAGTGTTGCATGAGTGTGGATGTACCTGGTGACCGGCACAGCTGAGGGGAAACTATACACCAGGCAGCACTTTGAAAGATGAGATTTGAGATCAGAGCAGACTCTGGGGAGGTGAGAAGGCAAACAGCAGAGGAACAGAACATCTGCCCAAACAGCCAGCCTGCGGTTGTCAAAAAAACACTCCACTCCTGTCGGGACACCGTCCTCTGAAACACAGGCAAAACATCCATTTTGTCAGTAAACAAGGAAACGTGATCTGACTTTGAAGGAATGATCACGTGGGCCCATTTTTACGTTCCGGCCAGGTGATGGAACCCTAGTGATTAAAAAGCTAAAACTAAGATCATTAAAAAGTGCTGCTGCCACACACGTGGCTGCATTCAGATGCTGCAACATGATAACATGATACTCGCACTAAAGACAAGAAGAACATGTTCATTGTGCATGACCATAAACCACTGAAACATTGACTCTAAGCTGGTCTCAAAATAGAGAACAAATGCTCCGTCCTAAGGAAAACCACAGAAATGTTATCATTTACCTCACATCCTGTCTTTATGAATACAGAATATGTCAATGTTCATGGAAATTATGGTGATTGTTTCCATGTGACGAGTCGTAACACCAAAACATCAAGTTAAAATCTCTTCTGATGCTTGTTGCTATTTTTTTTATATTTATCTAACCTTTTGCTATTACCTTTTAACTAAGCGTTTTGCAACTTTCAGCTTTTAACAAACTTGGCTACTTTTAGCTTATAATCAGCCGTTTGCTACTTTGAGCTTCTAGCCTTTATCCAACACTTTGCTACTTTTAGCTAGACTTTTACTAATTTTAGCATTTTGTTACGTTAAACTTTCAGCAAGCCCTTTGCTACTTTTAGCTGTTGTTTATAACTTTGAGTTTTTTTAGCAAGCATTTTAATCGTTTTAGCTTGCATTGCTTATTTCAGCTTTACCAACATATAGTTTCAGCTTCTTCGTGCAGCATTCACACTGTATTTCATCAGAAGATGAAGTAACCTACTATGACATCATGGATTTATGACATTTAGTAAAACAAAGAAAAAATAAGAGCAAAGCTTGAACTTGTTATTGAAACGAGTTTTGGTGTATAAATGACATTTCTTATTTTGACTTTATCATATACCTGCTGTTTCTGGATTTCTGGTGGAAATCTTAATGTGGGATGGATTGATGCTGGTCTGACGGAGGAGGCAGATGAGGAGCTGTTTTCCCAGGTGACCCAGACCAAGGAGCCCCACATGGAGGTCACAGTCTGCTCCTGGTGCCACTGAGTCTCTGGCAGCGGAGAGACTTCGTATATTACGTCTGAAATTAACCAAAAATTAACGTAAATTACACTTACATGGAAACATCGTTTAAAGGAGCTTATAAACCTACGTCAATGTGTAGACTAGCTCACAGACGAAAGCTGCGTGCGCGCACCCGCAAAACGTCAGTCCTGCGGAGCGCGCACGGAGATGAAGCAACTTTTTCTCGTCGACGCTTAGTCCCGTCTCAAAAGAACTACTTAAATCAGAAACCATATCCATAACTGTTTTAATATTTTTAAAAGTAAGGCTGTCGAGTAGGTTTCCTATCGTTTCTAACACAGAGGAGAAAGAGCGTTGTTCTGTTGTCGTGACAACACCTACTTCCGATTTCTTTGGCAAATTTTTCAAAATAAGACGAACAATGCGGATATTTACAACAATAAATCCAAAACTATAATCAGAAGTGAGTTTAACTACTTTAATTCCCCCATTTTAAATACAATTTTATCAACTGTACATGTGCAATTTATATTGCTCTTTCCACATAAATACTGTACGCATAATCAAATGTCCAACACAAATGATCACAACATAAATCAGTATCCAAATCGACTGAGCATGATATTAAGACTTAACTTGTCAAGTAGATGCACTCATTGTTTCAAGAATTTGAAAATGTGAGCTGACAGCAGACTAAACAAAACAAAATTACAGTTTTCAAGTTTAAAAACAGAATTTTCAGCACATAAACTTAATGCAACGCACGTCTCACAGCTACTCTGCATCCTCCTTTTATTAATTTTAGTGATCTTTTAAGTTGCTTCAATGCACTGATTAAATAACTTTGCGCAAGTTTAACACATTTGGGTTCCATTACTGTTTTCTAATATTTGCATGAAATGGTACAAATTTGGATTATTTACAGTAAACAGCCAACATACAGTACATGTAATAAATTAAGGGTAGTTGCACATTTACACTAGTGTTTACTGACATCAAGAAAAAGTGATAACACTATCTGTAAACAAAATAAGAAGCTAAAGAGGACTGTCTGTCACTGTTGTGCTTTTACATTTGACAGAACTTAAGCCACATCAGGATATGTGGTAATGACGATATGCTTACAAATGTATTATTTCCCTTTGTGTAAGCAAATGATGCTGATGACCATGAAGGCACTGTGAGGGGAAACAGGTAAGCAGATTTACTTTTGCTTAATTTGTCATGAGACAAACAGTTTTATTTACAATCAGAACGGGTTGTCCAGTTTTCCAAAAGCCAATTAAAACACAAAAAGTTTCTTGGCTGTGGCTGCAGCACAGTCTTCAGTCACTGTACAGCCATGACATTTACTCCTCCCCATGCCTCCATTTCTGCGATTCCTCCTGACGTGCATCTGGGTGAATCTGATTCCTCATACCACCCAAGACGTTCGAGGTGGCTTCGGTGGCCATAATGAGTGGTTTGACTACCGCTGGTGGCAGCTGGCGAAGAACTCCACCAACAGCTCCCGTCATGCCCCGCTGCTCGTGCTCCCGTGTGGCTGTGTCATAGATGGTCAGTGCTGTGTCTGTTATACCCTGTGGAGGAAGACATCCTTATTTGCACTGATTTTTCATTTTATTTCAGTGGTGTAAAAATGATAGAGCTTCTGCTTAGCTGTTTGTTTACCTCTTTCACCACAGTGTAAGCTTTGGCTACACCTTCTCTCAGGTCAACAGGCTGATGAGCCAGGCCATAATGGGAATAACGTTTCACCCTCTTTGCGTCCCTCTCATCGAGAACTGGAGAAACCATGTCATAGGCCGTCTCGGCTGCTGTCTGAAGAGACGAACACAGAAACTATGCATTGATAGATCTCCTGATTGTGTTTCATTAAATGCGTGGGACAACAGTTTACCTGTATGGTCCGAACCATCCTGTTTGTGAGCTCCAGAGCAGCCATGGCTGTGGAGGTTCCAAAGGAGGCAGTGCCACGCTGAAATCCCCGGACTATTCGGCCATCCTTTCTGTACTGCTCAATAGGGAGCCAAACCAAGTCCCTAAGGCCGTGAACTGAACAAAACATCAAGGCTAAAGATTTTCTCAGAAGCTTATTACTCTACCTAGAAAGCACAAAGTATTGAACCTAAACGATGAAGATGAAAATTACAGTTTTCACAATAAAATAGTTTATAATTAAAACAAACACAGTTATGATAAACACCTGGTGAACAAGGAGCCTTATGTCCCAAAAGAGACGAAGAGGACTAAAAACAGCTGAACAATAATAATCACTGAATAACAATAAATCTAACAATTGTTGTGTTTTTCCAGGTTAAAATAACAACAGAACAATAATTCAGCATAGAATAAAATAGAACAGAACAAAATAATCTTAAATGTCAATGAATGGCTTGTACACAATGAATTTAGAAAAAAGCTTTTTTTAGTTTGGTGCATCTGCAACACATGTGAAATATACAGAAATTGTATTTAGGTTTTTACGTTAAAAGCAGGATGCTGATTATAATCCTAAAATCCTGTGACTGGGTTAAGAATGTGTGTTATACTCACCCAGTTTGACCAAAGTATGAATGGGTGCCACACCGCTCAGCAGTCCTTGAAGCTGATTGGTCTTTATATCATTCAGCCATTCGTTTATTGCATAAGAAAACAGCTTATCCACACCAAGTAATCTGAAACACAAAGAGGTTTTACCTCATAAATGATGTCAATAACTTATATCATAACGGATGAAAAAGTTTCTTATATTTTAGGATAATGTACCCTTGTCTATAGCAAAGCTGCCTCAGTTTCAACTCTGAACAGTTCAGTTGTGTCAGTCCAAATACGATCCCTGCAAATGTGCCCTGAAGCAAATAATTCATATAATTATTTGTAAAACAATAAAAAGACAAAGTGGAGTTCATGTATTATCCTTTTAAAACACAGACCTGGTCCATTGACACGTGTTTCCCATGGTAATCCAGTCGAATGGGAACCTCAGAGGTAAACCGAAACTCCCTGTTCAGAAGAGAAGACATTATTTACACATTTCATTCTAGCCATTTTTTTTTGTGGTTTGTAAAACTTTGGATTGCACCACTGACCTAAAGAAGATTGGCTGATCTGTAAAGGGAGAAGAAGAAGCTTCTCCATTATTCGCTTCTTCCCTGCCAGATGTGGAGAAACCGTTGTGGCTCAGCCGTCTCCGAGCAGGAACGGAGATGATCGGGGTTGGATCCAGGCTGCCAGCAGCGTGCTTAGAGAAGCTGCAGGAGATCTCTGGGGCAGCCGCATTCTTTGTGGTCACACAAACAACTGCAAACAAAAGAATGATCAGGACCTCATGAAATTAAAGTCAAATTTGCAACAGTAGACGTGCCGCTGAACCGTCAGGTTTACCTTCTTGGACAGGCGGTGAGAAGAACTCGACTTCAGTAGCAAGGCTGCTAAAGAAGTCCTTCATGAAGAATAATGCATCCTTCAAAACAAATGAGAAAATATGTTGGAAGCGTCTACAGTTTTGACACGGTCATAAATACTCTGGTATACCTGATCAATATTGAGACGAAGAGGCATAAGGGAGACACGTAAGCAGCACTCTGGGGGAGCCTGGCCTGACTCGGGACATGTATGCAAAGCTTTAACTGTCAACTGAAACAAGACGTGTTCAGTAAAATACCTCTTGAACAGATTCACTGAGGATACTGTTTTGCTCACCATGTTGGAGTGAGCTTTTCGAGGCATTTCCTTGCTGGAGTACAAGTAGAGGAACTTGTTCATCTGTGAGGCAGCTAGTCTGTCTCGGATCTCCAAGTCCTGCACAACGAACACCTGTCGGGACGCTGGCTGGTCTACTGTTGGACGTAGCGCCACAGGGGACTGTGGGTACACTTCATGCTGAAACCGCACCTGAAGGGACATTGAAAAGACAGGCTTAGTGAATCCTTGTAGGCGATTTGCAGATTTAAACAGATTATATTGAAGATTCATTCCAGTGGAATAAAAGATTAACCTTGCTGAGTTGGATTTCCATCAGAACATCAGGGTTTCTTCTTCTTCCTCCTCCTGCCTGTCCTGATGTCTTCGCTTGTCTGACTGGAGTTTGAGATGGGGAGCTATGAGGAGTAGATCTGCAGGATGCACAGAAGCATTTTAATGTTTTTAAAAGTCTTGATTCTTTTTGAGCAAGTTTAAACAGAAAATCTAGACTCTTGACCCACCCTCGACTTCTAGCGGGAGAAGCTGCGCAAACTGCACTCCCAAAGTCTTTTCCTCCATAAAGATGCCAAATGACAGAGATTTCTCTGACGAGGTAGCGAACCTCCGGGATGGGAAAATTCAAGGCTCCACGGCTGGAATCGTTCCCTTCTAGAGGCTGGCTGAAGTGATTATCTTTGATTTCCACTGGACCTGAGGTCAGCTGCTTCACCACGGGCTCCTGATCTCGATCCTGAAACACACGACTCACAGTGAAGCAACACAGAGAAAACCTCAACGCGTTTCGTAGACCTTTACAAGGTGGGCGAGTATTTCCCAACCTCTCCTTTGGAGTCAGGAGTTTCAAGAATGCAAAAGTCGTCCGTCTCTTGGGCCAGATTAGGAGCGGGCGTTATTAGGGGAGAAGGGAGCATGGGATAGGTGGGACTCAAGTCCTGGTTAAGATTCCCGCTCTCATCAGGGAACAGGAACAGGTCTGAGTGAGGTGGATCCTGTTCATGAATCGGCTCCTCTTGAGAACCTGTATATAAGCAAATAGCTTTAATATGCATTTAAAACTAATGAAGCAATGACTTAAAATAAAATAAAACAGCTATACCTTGTGCCTGTGAGTACTTAATATGGAAGTCTTAAAAATCACCCTTCATGCTAAAAATCTGCTCTTGACAGGCCTGATTCATCGTTCCCGTGAGCAAAACCCACCAGTGCCATGAGCCGAAGTATAATTTTTAACAAAACTTTAAGAATATGAGTGAAAAGTAAAAAAAAAACATGGGTCATTAAACTGAAAGAACTACCGTATTTTTTGGACTATAAGGCGCACTTTTCCTTTAATTTTCTCAAAAATCAACAGTGAGCCTTATGTATTGATTCTGAATGTGATTACTGACATTGAACCAATTTTATGTGGTACACGGTGCTCAAAAATCTGTCAAAATGCTTTAGTTTCACTTAATGCGCCTTATAATCCGGTGCGCCTTATAGTCTGAAAAATACGGTAATATGACAGTAAGTACTCATAAAAAAACTTCATAAAAGCCCACAAAAACATATTTTTAAGTGAATGTTTACCG